ATTATATTATACCTGTGTTCTTAATGTTTGCGAGTACATTCAAAGTACTCACTGGCTTGTCCCTGGCTATTGTCTTGGCCAGATTGCTTGCTTGGAGAGGAGCATTGCGATGACAGCCTCGGAACCTACGCAATGGAGATAGCAGCCTCGCGAAGATAGGAGTTATCCTGGTCAGCTGTTCCTGTGGGAAATGGAGTCCCATAGACACTAATGTCTCACAAACCGCTTCCGCCATCGACCACTAGAAACCAATTGTCATACTCATAGGCCACAATGGTCTTGTACTACATATTTTGTATTTTTGCTTGGAATTTCTGTATCAAGTTGGTGCCTCATCAGCTAACAGTAATCCTGGGGCTGGTGAGCATAACGGCCATTTTCTGGAAATTAATACCCGGAAAACCGGTCGTGACAATAACCCTTTTTTGTGATCCTCTAACATGCGATCGAACTTCAGCTTCTCCTTTTGACTTTCGCATTGCGTCCTTGCATCGACAATGACCCGGCGGAGATCATCATCATCGGGCACATCGTCTGGTTCCTCTTGATCTTCAGCAGCTTCACCCGTTGCAGCATCATTGGGCACATCGTCTGGTTCCTCTTGATCTTCACCAGTTCCCCCCGTTGCAGCATCATCGTATTCAGGGGGCACATAGTTGTCATCGTACTCTTCTTCTTCGCCGTCTTCCATCATAACCCCTATTTCTCCGTGCCTCGTCCAAACATTATAGTGTGGCATGAAACCCTTGTAAAGCAGGTGGGAGTGAAGGATTTTCCGGTTAGGGTAAGACCTCGTATTCCCACATTCAGTGCACGGACAACACATAAAACCATTCTGCTTGTTTGCCTCAGCCGCATCGAGAAACTCATGCACGCCCTTAATGTACTCGCAGGTGTGTCTGTCACCGTACATCCATTGTCGGTTCATTTGCATGCATTATATATAATTAAGTGTCCAAATTAATAGAAGTTCATCATCACATTAAAACCAAAGTGCATACATAGTTCTCATCTAACAACATATAGCTCTCCAGAGCATCTAATTAATTAAACCATACATTGAAACTATGTAAAACATTTCAATGCGAAAACAAATGCGATCATAATCGCAACCAAGGTAACAATTGATCGAACGGCATAATGATACCAAGCCTCGGTATGAATGGCATATTTTCTAATCTTTCTAATCTTCAAGCGCATTGCATCCATCTTGATCTTGTGATCATCGATGACATCCGCAACATGCAACTCCAATATCATCTTCTCCTCCTCAATTTTTTTTATTTTTTTCTTCAACAAATTGTTTTCTTCTTCAACTAAATTTAACCTCTCAACAATAGGGTCGGTTAGCATTTCCAATTCATATACATCCTACATAAATAAAATCTATGTCACGTTGGTCGGCATAATTTTTATAAACAATAAATGAACCAATAGTTATAAAGATAATATATATACCACATCCGAATCATAGACAGGACGAGGGCCGACGGGGGCGGATACCAAAACCATCGCACTATATAAGATGCAATAATAAAAGTAAGAAAATAATACAAGTATCTATGTAAACATACAAGTAATAATATTTTTCCTTTCAGAAAGAAGATAAGAACAAGAGGCTCACCACGGTGGTGCCGGCGATGAGCTCGGCACGGGTGATCAACGGCGGTGAAGATGGGGACGGGGCGTGACGGACCGCTAAACCTAGACAAATATTATGGAAAATGGAGCTTGGAGAGGAGAAAGCTTAAGTAGTGTGGCTCGGGCATTCCATCGAACACCTTGCGTGCATAGGAGGTGAGCTAGAGCACCACCAAGCCCTCTCCTCCTCGGCCAGAGAAAAACAGAGCACTGGGGTGCTCTGCTCGCGAGCGAGGGGTATATATAGGCACCTCATTGGTCCCGGTTCAAGCCACCAACCGGGACCAATGGTGGTGGGCCAGGAGCGAGGCCCATTGGTCCCGGTTCATCCCACCAACCGGGACCAAAAGGTCCAGATGAACCGGGACCAATGGCCCACGTGGCCCGGCCGACCCCCTGGGCCCACGAACTGGGACCAATGCCCATATTGGTCCCGGTTCTGGACCGAACCGGGACTAATGGGCTGACCCGGCCTGGACCAAAGCCCTGTTTTCTACTAGTGACAGGGTCTGGGGCATCACGAAGAACAAGGACTGCCTGGTTGACCTTGCCTCGGCTATCGTTGACCCCTACTACAGGAACATGAAGGAAGAGGCCAAGAAGAACAAGACCGCCTGACACAGTGCCTGGATGTAGAGATGGGTGCAGAGACTGGATGAAGAACACACTAAGTATGCGGCCAAGGACGCGTACACAAGCTACGAGATGTACAGGCGGATCGTTGACATGAGGTGTAGAGTAGTGGCGACAACGTCGTAAGAAGTAGATGATTAGATGCTCGTTTCCCCTAATTTAGTATGTATGTAATCTTTTATTAAGGTGTGTGCGTATGTTGTGTATAGTCACTTATGTAATTGAATATTTAATTTGGTTATGCAATCATGTTCTTATAAGTATATATGTTTTTCTTCTGTAGACAAAGTAAATCACATCGCATATGAACTAAACTACGGAACCGTCGGTGATGATTTCTTCACGCTGACAATTGTATACCAGCAAGCGTTTGCCCACAACACAAGCGACTGATTAGCAGGAATTGTCTGTGTTGTTATCGGTCTTCCCACACAATTCTGATTACTGGCCTGTTTATCGCATATCAGACACATCTTTTTAAACTGAATCGTTTGTGTTTATTTTGGCTCATCGCAAACAATTCATTCAAGTGAACTGTATGTCGTCTATTGCACACACCTTGATATGACTGGTCGTTTCTGTTGTTTTGGATCATTGCAAACAATTCATCCGAGTGAATTGTATGCCCTTTATCGCACACACCTTGATTTGGCTGACCGTTTCTATTGTTTTGGCTAATCGCAAACAGTTCATACGGATCTACTGTATGCCACATATCACATAAGCAACTCTAATCTAAATTGTGCTTGATGTCTCTGCCATCGCATACTGTTCATTTTATTGGTGATGATTTTATTACAATACCCTTTGCGACTCATATATCACACACAGGTTGGTTGTTTGGTCTCCTATATATGCCGCGTTAACGTCATCCTGCAGTAGTGTAATGTGGTGTAATTAAGGCCACCACAATTGAAATTGAGCCAAACACATACGTGCACGCAGCCAAACAACTCGTGGCTTGCATCTGCGTACCCCTGAAGCACATATGCGGGCAACCAAACGGCAGACCCTAAAATGGACACTGATGCAATGCAGGCAACGAAAAAACATACAGATGTTGATTTCTGTTTTGCCTATTTTTGCTTAGCCAGGCTCATGTGAGTCAATCGTGCAATGCAGCCAAATTTGTAGATGACAACAAACACGTCCTTGGTGGCCTGCGTTAGGGATGCCCTAAAATTCCCAAGTTTGTTCGAAAATGGAACTCAAATCCTCACACTCACACGGCAATCACCAGACAAGTTCGAGGCGATCACTAGCCAGTACAAGTGCAACTTGCATAGAGTAGCTGGCCATATCGTCGACGCAGGTCATCATGGGTTTACACGGCGCGCGGGCCCGTCGCCTACTGTAGCAGTCACCTCATGATACTAGCTGGCGCTGCCCTGGCCCATGGCCTGCTGAGTAGTTGCGGTCACTGTGCAGATGCGCATCGATCGATCCGCCCCCGTTCTCTCTCTCTCTCTCCGGCGACGTCTGACATCCATCCACGAGGCAGAGAGGCGAAGGACGCGGTCACGTGAGGCGACGACCCATCGGGTTGGAGCGGACGCGTACCTATGCTGTATGGCAGCCCGCGAGCGTCGTATCGGCGCTCGGCAGCGCGACGGCGTCCCATCGCGGTGCGCGCACCCGGCGTACGTGACTACGTACCCGCGCGCATGCACGGCGAGCGCGCACTGGCCACCGGAGATCGATCGCTCGCTCTGGATGGCAACCGAGGCGGGCGCGCGCACTGGCACTGGCACTGGCACGGCAGCAGCAGTGGTGGAGTAAATAGTAGTAGTAGCAGCAGAAGCAGCATGGCAGCATCGCTCGCGTTGGCTTGCCACTTGACAGGGAGCAGGGTGCGCTAGGCTCGCGGCCGGGGGGAGCCATAGCTCCTGTTGGCGCGCGTCAGCGAGCCTGGCTTTTCGGGCGCCAGTAAAGGCGCGGCACCAGCCGCCGTTCGACACGTCCGCTCGGCGCCTGCCCAGGCCGGATCCGGCCTCGGGCCTGCCGCCCCACCCCCTGAGTCGCGCACCGCACGCACGTACGGCGTCGATCTCACCCCACGCACGCACGCACGCACCGACGTACATCGACCTCGCCGGTGACTTCCGAGAATTTTTACCCAGCAGTCAGGCAGGGAGGCAGGGTGACGCTGACTACTCGTGCATGGGCGCGCGAGAGAAGGAAGGAAGGAAGGAACGTTTTGCGTTTGCGTGTGCGTGTGCGTGTGCGTGTGCCTGCCTGGACGACTGAGACCTAGCTAGCTAGCTGGTCTGGTAGTGGTGGTGGTGTCTAGATATAGTAGGAGTAGTACCCTAATTAGGCTAGTACGTAGCTAGGGCCGAGGGCGAGAGCGAGAGGCGAGATCCAATCTGCACCGCACGAAAGGGAAAGGGAAAGATTCTTGCCCTGCCCCGCCCGTCTTCCTCTTCTCGGCCAAGCTAGCTATAGCCCACCACCACCACAGGCTCCCCCCGGCACCACTGCAACCCTGTCCAGGCCCCTCAAAAAGAAATCTAGGACAAGCAAGGGAGCTGCTGCTGGCTAGCCAGGCTTACTTAGCCTTGGTTGAGAGCGAGGAATCGAGCCAGATTTCATGCCATCCTAGCTCGCCCCTACCAGACACACGTCCTGCAGTGGTGCTGAATTTTGTCAGGTTTCACGTTGCTGGTTGGGAGGTGAGGTGAGGGCGAGAGGTTCGGGAGGAGGAGATCAGAGGTCGGAGGTCGGAGATGGGTCGCGGCAAGGTGGTGCTGCAGCGGATCGAGAACAAGATCAGCCGCCAGGTGACGTTCGCCAAGCGCCGCAACGGCCTGCTCAAGAAGGCCTACGAGCTCTCCCTCCTCTGCGACGCCGAGGTCGCGCTCGTCCTCTTCTCCCACGCTGGCCGCCTCTACCAGTTCTCCTCCTCCTCCAAGTAATTACTCCTTCCGATCTCCCCCAGTGCCGTACCATATCGATCCCTCCATTTCCTTTTCTCTTTGTGGTTTTGCCGAGTCGATCCTTTTGATTTGCTCTCCCCGTTCAAACATTTTGTCCATACGCGACGTTCGATCTGAATTTTCTTGCGTCTTAGGGCGTCCGTGCATGAACTTATGGGGGGCTGGGTCCGTACGTTCTTTCCCTCTTGTTTGCTGTTCTGTTGGCCACTGTGTCAAAAGAGGCTAGCAAGAAACAAACAAAGGAAAAAGTGATGAGCTCACCCGCAGCAGCAGATCGACGGACATACTATGCAGTAGGAGTATATGTCATGCGTATGTTTGTCTCATTCACAGTAGAGGATTAAAAAGGGGTTTTAATCTAAAAAAAACAAGAAGAAAAGATGTTTTTATTTGATGTACGCCTGACCACACCTGTATTGAGGATACATGTATGCACATAATTAGAGCTTTGATCACCTGCTGAGATTAATTTGCACCAATATGGCATGCATCCTTGTGAAACTCATACGGGCACTAATTGTTTTTCTACAAATTTTATCTAGCTTTGTCTTATGGTCTGGGTAGTATGATGATCCACTTCTGAGAATTAATTTGAATTATGTAATTTTAAATACTTTTCTGCAGACCCAAGTTCAATCTATTTTTTTTCTCAAAACAAAGGTTCAGTCTAATTTGACACCTTTAAGGCGTAGGATTGAATTATATATGCTTGTTTAATGTTATTTGTCAAAGAACTAAGAAAGGATATATACCGCTTTCAGTTAACTGAATTGCATTAATTTTCTAGTCAAAGTACCGAAATAATACTATTGAAAAAAATGAAACAGTTAAGTGCTTTAATTCAACTGTGGCCTTACATGATGTGACAGGGCAAGTGCTGCATCATATGTACTAGGTACAAATGAAGTGCTATTTGTACTTCCTTGGAGCAAAAGAAAACAAGTAATAAACTAGCTAATGTTAGGTTCGTACCTACTCCCTCCGTCCCATAATGTAAGACCTTTTTTAACACGGTCTTATATTATGGGATGAAAGGAGTACGCAATAATTTAAGCAGCTCTATAGGGTAGCATTACCTAATGATATCAGAACTTTATGTATGTTCGAGTCAAATATAGCTAGGTTTTAATCTGTCAAAATTATAAAGCCACTGAGTTTGCTCAAAAAGTTTGTAAAAGCGCTGATACATGAAATGTGAAACCAGACTTGGTAAAATTGCATGCTAATATTTTGTAGGGCCAATCATGATTACTACTTGTCAGTTCTATACAAACATGCCACTGGTGGCTAGCTTAAACTTTGTAGCAATTTTGGCTGAAATAGCTTTTTTGGTGAAAATTAACAACTGTACTTCTCACAGTAGTAGCTCAATAAACATTCTTACAGTGGCATAGTTCTCCCAAAAGTTTAATTAGTCAAAGGAAACAGATATGTCTTCTTTTTTATATAATGGAAAGTTCTTTTTAGGTACATCGTCAAGTCTTCACTAGATTGTGATGTTTACACAACTTTGAAGCCATGTGTCAATGGCTATAAAGTGACCAAAAATTAGCTCATAAGACTAAGACAACATATAGAATTTGTTAGAAGTTGAACATACAGAAAGTTTATTATGCGAGAGACCTTCATTGTCCAATAATTATCGAATTCTGTCATGTAAATAGTGATACTTAGTTTCTAATCCCTCCCCCTCCCCCAGTGAATCTGAATTTATGTTATTTACCTATGCGTGTACTTGCACAACTTAATCTCGAATTTTCAACTCATCGCAGCATGCTTAAGACCCTCGAGAAGTACCAGAGGTACATTTTCGCTTCCCAAGATGCTGCCGTGCCGACTACCGATGAGATGCAGGTCTGAGGCTTTTATTCCCAATGCGCATATTATGAAGATTCTACAAATTTTCCTCAGATACAACATCTTTGAATTTTTAACTAGCAGGTTATCAGAGAAATTTGTTTTCCTTCGTAGAACAATGTATCTATAATGCCCTAAATAACATATATAAATTGATTTTTGTGAAGAGATAAAACATTCAGTCATACATTTAAAATATTTCATTCTGTATGACGTACGTTATATGAAGCATTGCCTATTCGTAAATGTTACCTAGTTCACACATGATTGCTAAAAGGTATTTCTCTGCTGGTAAAGGTGTTATATTTCCGTGTTTAGAACATGGATTTCTGTTGCTTGTCATATAGGCAGTGAACTAATTATTTTGTTTGACTTTTTTATGTAAAATTACTGCCTTGTAAACATGCCCACATGGTTTGAAGCAAAAGATAAACCTTTGATAAATTTTTAGCAGTTACAAAATATTAAATGGGAATGTAAGTTCATGGCAATTAGAATGTTGGAAAGTACAGCTAGAGCATTGGCCCAGTGCATTTCATGCATACGCGCAGCATAATTCACGTACGTGGCTATCTATGTGAAATACAGCATCGAGTAACTGGGCACTGGGGAGACCTATATCTGCGCATGTTCCTTGAATTATCGCTAATGTACATGCATTTTGTGGTTGGTTATAACTTATAAGTAGACTAACAGCTTGGTTGGCCACCACATGCAGTATTGTAGCAGATAGCAGCTTCAGACTGATTGGCCATATGCCATATACCTGCTGATGAGTTTATTACAACAGTGGAATGTATTAAAATTGATAAATACAATATGGCTATATGTTATATGGTATAAATGTGGTAGTTGTTTATTAAAAAGGCATGGGGTAAAATGTTCAATTTATGTTTAGTAGAGCCTAAGCTATGGTACGCCTTCTTCATGGTCACGGTCATATTTTCCAAATGACATGTCCAAAAGAATAGATTTGGACTTACTAGATCCTTTACTATTCATGCGAGAATTTATTGTTTATGAGGATTCACACACAGAGAGTTGCCAGTATGTAATTTTTAGGATTCATGGTACAATTTAATCATAATCTTAATTGCTAGAACGTGTACTAATTTCTTTAGAAGATGGCAAGTGGGAACCTATAAACACACGAAGCAAGAACCATATGAACTCAACACAAGCAATCAACTAAGCCATAGCAAAGCGCAAACAAGAGAACATTGATAGATGATTGGTTTCCCTAACGCTAGATCGTAGTGTAGATGAACAATCCAAGTGCTAGAAGTTGCGAGAGAGTGACAATATGACTCGTTTGATCTCTTGATGTTGTGTAGAAAGGGAGCCGCAGTTGGGTTCATCTTCTTTTTTCCGATAAACTTGGGTTCATCTTCATAGTCATGATTATGGCATGCTCATGTCAAATCTTATGACATATAGTAAAACAAAGGTCTTCTGCGCACAATAAGGATATCGAAGTATAACAAAAGGTTCACACGAATTGCTCTAGGATTTTTCAGTGATGTGGTACTCCAAGTTTTTATTCTAGGAAGTATTCCTAGATTTATGGTATAAGTTGGTATATATTAACTCTTCAGTCATAATCATCTCCAAGGTGATACTTTGACCATTTGTTTTTTTTCTTCTTTTTGCGACTGAACTATCAATTTCTATAAAAAATATGTTGATACACATAAAACATTTTACTCATTATGGAATTATGTTCTGCGATAATTCAAATATCTGTGTCAAATGTTTGTAATTTTATTTTTATTTTTACTGATAATCAGATTAAGAGTGCTTGCTGTTTTTTTTTTGAAATGACCTATACTATGTGACTCATATGAAGTGGTACTCCTAGCTTGTAATCTTACAAAGTCGTCCTGGATTTATGTTTAGAATTTTTAGATATTACCTCTTGTGTCATAATGTAGGTTGTCTCCAGCACGTGATACTTTGACAATCAGTTTCCATAACAATATGCTGGTTCAAATGAAACATGGTACACTTTATAGATTATGTTTCACGACAACGTAAATTTTGTTTCACGTTTTGTAAGTTTCTTTTTTTTTATGATGAAACCAAGAATGTTTGACGGACACAACTTTGGAATTGTCCTACAATGTTACTCACATGAAGTATTTGATTTTTGCGGGACAAAAAGGCATTTTTCTTAAGCTTTTATTTTTGCAGGACAAAATGGCATTTTTCTTAAGTTTACTTGATTTAGCATTTTCCCCATATCTCCTTCTTTACACTAACTGCAGAATACACTAACTGCAGAACAACTATCTGGAGTATATGGAGCTGAAGGCAAGAGTTGAGGTTTTACAACGCTCACAAAGGTGATGTTTCTATATTCCTCTCAGATAATTGCTCATTAATTTCAGCAGGTTACCGCAACATTTGCTATGTTTGCTAAAGTAAGTACTGTTGATGGTGCCACAGGAATCTCCTAGGCGAGGATTTGGCTCCACTGAGTACAATCGAGCTTGAACAGCTTGAGGGTCAAGTAGGCAAGACCTTGAGGCAAATAAGGTCAAGAAAGGTAAACTACATAGCAATAAAAAAAGTTAAGAGTATAAGTAGAAATTAGGTTAATCTGCTAAAATCCATTCGTCTTATCGAGCAACGCTTGCTGCTAGTTTCACTAACTAGTGTCCATGATTTAACCTGTACCACAGACTCAAGTACTGCTGGATGAAATGTGCGACCTGAAGAGAAAGGTAGCACTAAAAATACTTTCCATTTCTGTTGCTAAATGATGGACGATGTCCTATTCCGTAGCTTCAAGCACAATCTTGTTTTGCAGGAGCAAATATTGCAGGATGCAAATATGACCCTGAAAAGAAAGGTAACATGACCCAAATCATTTTTCCTAGCTAGAAAGGTCTGCATTTGTACGCACGTAGCTAGGGAGGGACCATCCTCAAGGAGAAGCTGTCTCATTTCACTTGGGCCAGTGACAAGTGATTGGAAAGTTGATGACTCGGCAAGCCCACTAGTAGTTAGTTAGTAGGCAGGGGACCCCTGGTTGGCACCACAGTATAAACACAGGTGGCTTTCAGGTACCACCAATTGCAGCTACCTGCCGTGTTTATGTGTGTTTGTGCACTGCAAGCATTCTTCTTCTTCCTGGCTTTCAGAAAATCACTCTTCTTGTTTTTACCCTCTACTGAAAACGGCTTCATCCATTGGTGTATGTAATGCTCTTGATCACTCCCGTTTCACTTCAGCTGGGCGAGATCGAGCTGGAGGCGACACCTGATCCCCCGCAGCAGCCGCAGCAGCAGCAGATGTGGCAGGGCGACCGGGGCGTGCCGCCCCACACGCCTCCGCAGCCAGAGCACTTCTTCCAGGCCCTAGAACGCTATCCTTCCCTGCAGCCAGTGTAAGACTTCTAACTCTTTTTTTCCTTTTCCTGCTGCTAAACTCATGGCACAGAGACTAATGATCACCGACGTTCGTCTCTGCAGATTTCGTGGCATGGATGTGAACCAGCCGCCGCCTGCATGGATGGCATAGCTACGCACCCGCATTGGTCTGTCTACCGTTCCAGTCGATCAACAAGATGCACCGCTTGGCATGAGCGATTATCTATCTCAAAAACAATCAACAACAAGATGCGTTGCCTGCCTATGTGTCCTGCATCTCCAATAGGCTCCTATATATATCAACTCGGCTGTTTTTGTGTTTCCTTTTCAAGTGCTTGTGGATTTATTTTAAGTAATGTGTACAGGGTTTGTCTTATTTGTTATTAGCAAGTGTTATATTGCTCATTTTGCTTAGAGAAGGCGAGAACGGTTTTCCTTATGGGATTTGATTTACAACAGCGTAATAAACCCTCCCGATGCATGTATGGCACGCTCACGCTCTCTCAACATCTTCTCTCATAAACTCTTGAGCCGCAACAAAGTGAGCTCTCTTTCTATTTTCAGGGTTTTAAATTGTCTTCTCAAATGTTGACCATGTCGGGTAGATGTCATCTGCAAGGTAGTGGCCCTTATCATCGAGACCTTTTACGAGGCATCAAGTCTATTGGAGCCGTTCATTTTTGTGATTGGAGGGTTCAGATCAGCCAATACTACAACAGATTTTCAGCAGTATATTGATCAATTAAGGGCATTTTAGGTAGTTCACTCTATTCATCAATCCTCAACGAGTAGCAGTTCTATGGCCAACGGTCATCAACCTTGACGTGCGACATCACGTCGTCGGCCACGGCGAGGCTCCTTGGGAGGAACTGAACATCGACACTCGGCATTAGCACCGCTGCTTAGTGCTTACCGCGTTCTAGTACGATGTGGACTGAGGTGAGCTGAAGTCGAAGTCAACATCACGCATGTCGCCGGCCGGACAGGCTGGACTCCTTCTGTGGAGGCCGCACAATAGCATGGCGTCGATCTCAAGCTCGACCTGCCGTGCCGTCTACGTTCATCGGCTGGATGAGGCCCAACTCAATACAAGACAGATCGCCCTCGTTGCCGTCGTCCATGCCTGGCCGACCAAGAAGGGTCTGCATGCATGTCAGCGGCGGACTCCATGGGCTCGGCGTCTGGCTGTAGCTTACGATGTTGCCGGGGAAGAACTGAACGTTGGCGCAGGCCCTACTCATCGAGGCAAATTCTTTCTGCCAAAGAACGCATGTACACGAAGTGAGGACAAGCAGGTTGATTGATACACATATATGTACGTACTGATTCCGCCGGCCGGAGATGCAAGCAAATCGCAAGGCCGCGTCGAGAACATACACTGATCCGATCTCGAGAACATACGCAGGCGGCGTTAGATGTGATGAGATTAATTTAGTTAATTAGATTAATCATTATGATTAAAATTAAGGAAAAAATCTATCCTGACAGAGAATTACCAATATACCCTCCATACTAACCGTTGGATCAACTAAATACTACCCACTATTTTGAGTAGTATGATGCACCGTAAAAAATCTGTTATCATACTGATGGCCACTGAATTCAATGTTGCAAGGTGAAGCCTCACAAACAATAAGCCTTACGAAAAGGTCTTTGGAGGACATTGAGATCATTGTGAGATCTGGCATTCCGAAGTAACAATGCCAAATACATATATCTTGAGAGGCGACAATTTTGAGTATGAGTATGATGATTGGATCAAGCCAGTGTCCGGTGTACTGCCTAGCCCATCTCACATGGCAATACTTGTATCTCTAGTGCATGCAACCGATACTCCGAAGCATCCCAAGAAACACTCTCACTGCACCAATTTCCATCAGCCTTGTCGTGTCATTTGTATTGGGTGCTTGTAGATACTCTTCTCCAAAGTTCTCAATCATAGCCTTCACAAATCCCTTCATAAAAATAATAAACATAACGTTGGAGATGTGGACATATTCATCAACCAAGTCACCCGGGATTCTGTATACCAGCACACACGTTGTCATGGAATATTTCTACACAACACTTTGCTACGTTGTCCGGTAGCATCTCTCCTCGGAGTGAACCAATGATCTTGCGCTTCCACCCTAGTTACAATGTGCAGAACAAGATCCCTCAACATTCTGAAACATTGCATGAACATATATAATGGATGCATCGAATTTTCTACAAAGTAATATCTCAGCATCTTACATGGCCGTCTGTTGCGCCAAATGTACCTACGGCCTGGTTGAAAACCTGATTTGACCTTTCTCCCTTATTCTTCCTCCACAATAATCACTAAGAGCATCTCCCTTAGGTGCCCTATAATAGAGCATAACCGGGTTTTTACATCATAAGGGGGCAAAAACACTGCCCCAATAGGTGCTCTATATGCAAAATAATTGCCCCACGGATAGGGCAGCTGCAAAATACAGCACCAAGTGCTGCAAATCAGCAAATTTCGACACTCACTGGTGCAGCGACGTGCTACACAAACGGTTTTTTAACTTTTTTCTGCGACAGAGTTTAAAA